ATAAATGAGAAACTATACTGAACATTATGAAATAGTAGAAACACATGGATATTTGTAGATTGAAGAGAAGAAGGAAGAACATTGTTAGCTAATTGGGTCAACAGTTACAATCTTTCATAGGGGAGGACATTCAGATGGCCAACAGACACACATGAAGAAATGCTCAAAATCACTGGCAATAAGAGAGCTGCAAATCAAAATCACAATGAGATACCATCTTACCCCAGTAGCAGTGGCAAAGTTTATCAAGTCAGCAAGTAATAATTATTAGAGAGGATATGGGGAGAGAGGAACTCTTATACACTGTTGATGGGATTGTAAAATGGTACAACCACTCTGGAAGGCAGTTTTACGTTTCCTCAAAAAGCTGAAATAGAAATTGCATATTGCCCAGATATTTCACTGCTTGGTATATTCATAGCAGCATTATTCATCATTGCAAGAACATGAAAACAGCCCAAATGCCCAACCACAATGGAAAGGATTGAGAAATTATGGTACATTTACACAATGGAATACTATGCAGCACTTAAGAACTATGATTTTGTTAATTACTACTTACCATGGGAGGAACTGGAGATCATTATGCTAAGTGAACTAATTCAATCTCATAAAGACAAATACTGTATAAGACCATTATTGTAGAATGAGTACCAGGATACAAGGAGGGGAGAGGGAGGTGGAAGGAGGGTGGCTAAAGGAATGGGGAAAGATCCAGTGTGAAAAACAATGTATATGAACTTTGTTAGCAAACCAGTATAAAATTTAAAAAAAAGTTATTTGCAAAAAAAAAATTAAAAAAAGATCAATAAAGAAATCATTGTAAACACACACACACACACACACACACACACACACACACACACACACAGTTACAATCTGAGATAACCCTAGTCTGATAATTTTTTCCTCAGTACTCTTGATTTACATTTACTGATCTTGAAGCTAGATTCCAACCTAGTTTCTAGATCTATAGATCTAGGATCCTCCAGTGTTTCCAATGCAATCGTCTCTCAGGATTTGCCTTTCAGCTGCCAATACCAGTCTTTAGGCTAGTTCCATAAAAGCAGATTCTTAGTGCCAACTTTGCTCGGATGATTTATTGAGAGAATTCTATCATGAAAAGCAGAGGATAGCCAAATAATGTGTGTGTGTGGGGGGGGGGGAGGAGGGAGGATTAAGCAAGGCTGTGGACTCAGAGATTACACTCAGCTTGATTCCTGGGGAGGCTCTAAAACAGAGATTGCATCCAGGTTCCACCTGAACATAGTGATGGGTGTGTCATGGGGCAGTGACTTCCACATGTCCTTCAGGACGAGGTACCTTTTATTTGACTGAGTACATTTCTGGAGAAAAGGGCAACTGTGATCTCTTAGTAACTAATATCACAGATGGGAAACAAATGCACTGCGTTGGTAAATGGCAATGAGATGTCACACCAATGTTTACCATTACTGTTCCTTCTAGCTAATCTGGATAATATGAATAAATGCAAGACTTTGGGTGGGTATTCGGATAAAAGTAAGATAAGAAAGCTAGAATTTAGGGTGAATTTGATGTCAGGATTTTATTGAGTTAGGGTTCATTTTGGGTAATCTCTTCCTGTATGATTTACAGCTTCTAAAAACCCAGTTAAATAAACTGTATGCCCTCAGAGGACTTGGAGATTAATGGGAATTTGTGTGTGCTGAGAGAAGTTCTTTGAACCGTCAAATTGTGAAATTTTTTTTAGCTATAAACAGAAAGCCAAACCTCTTTTGACGAGAAAAGAAGAAAACTATTAGAATAATGTGGAATGAAAAAAACAACAACAAACCCAACAAAACAACACACCACATCAAAAAACCCGATTGAAGGTCAGTTCCAACTCTACTGCACACACTAACAAAATTAATTCATTTGTGGTTACTATATTTCATATCCAAATTTATGTGATTATTAGGGTTAGGTTTTAGGTTGTACATTGTTTTTATGGGCCATCGAGTTGGAACCAACCCATAGCTGACCTTCTGGAGGGTTTTCAGAGGCAGTTAATCACACAGGAGGAGATTGCCCATCCTCCCACAGAACAACTGATGGAGTCGAACTTCATGCTTTTAGGATTGCAGTGCAGCTTCTTGCCAATTAGCTTTTAAATTTATTGTGAAGATGATTATAATCCTTGCTATATTTATACTGGATTTGGTCTTAAAGATAGTCTAATGTAATCAATTTGCAACAAATGCAATATACTAGAGATCACTAGAAGATTTTTAAGGCAATTTATTGGTAATCAAGGAAAAATTGTGTTGTTATTGGTATTTTTTAGTTATTTTATTTATTAGTTACTCATTAAAATTATTATTTTATTATTGTTATTAATGTATTATTGGAAATAATGGAGCTCTGGTGGCCTAGTGGCAAGAAGCTGTGCTGAAATCCCTAAGGCATGAGGATTGAGTCCACCAGCTGCTCTGTGGGAGAAGGATGGGCAGTCTTCTCCTGTGCACTTAACTGCCTCTGAAAACCTGGCAGAAGTCAGCTATGAGTTGTTTCTGACTCTACAGTATATAGACAACAACAACAATAGTGTAATTCTAGCAATGTTATAGTTGGCATTAGGCATAAGGGGATAAACACAAGAAGTGATAATTTTTTTGCAATGCAAGATTGATGTCTACTGAGTCTATGGTATTTCTTTAGTGAACTAAATCATTTCAACTGCTGACTGAATTTTTGCCAAGATTAGGCTTAGAGGCAGAGTAACTAAGTAGGACTGAGTTGATCTATAACAAACCCTTGAATAGTTAAGGATATTAGACTGAGTTCAGAATAAGATCAGTGTCTGGATAGAAAATAAAGTTAAAATTTGTGTCAGAGAAAGGGAGATCAGGATAGAAAGAAAGAGATGTAATTTCAGGGTTCTGGAAGATCTGACAGTAGCTTGTCTTTGCATTTCAGATTCTACCTTCCTGGCATTAATCTGAGTTCAGCTTTTTCACTATGGTGGATCCCAGTGTCAATGAATCCAGCGCTACATATTTCATCCTAATAGGCCTCCCTGGTTTGGAGAGAGCTCAGTTTTGGCTGGCTTTCCCACTCTGCTCCTTGTATCTTATTGCTGTGTTTGGTAACTTGACCATCATTTACATTGTGAGAACTGAGCACAGCTTACACGAGCCGATGTATATTTTCCTTTGTATGTTGTCCGGCCTTGATATACTCATCTCCACCTCATCAATGCCCAAAATGATGGCCATCTTCTGGTTCAATTCCACTACTATCCAGTTTGATGCTTGTCTGATCCAGATGTTTGCCATCCATTCCCTATCTGGCATGGAGTCTACAGTGCTGCTGGCCATGGCCTTTGACCGCTATGTGGCCATCTGCCACCCACTACGTCATGCCACTGTGCTCACGTTACCTCGCGTTGCCAAGATTGGCATGGCTGCTGTTGTACGGGGAGCTGCGCTCATGGCACCCCTGCCTGTCTTCATCAAACGTCTTCCTTTCTGCCGCTCCAATATCCTCTCCCATTCCTATTGCCTACACCAAGATGTCATGAAGCTCGCCTGTGCTGACATTCGTGTCAATATCATATATGGCCTTATTGTCATCATCTCCGCCATTGGCCTGGATTCACTTCTCATCTCCTTCTCATATCTGCTTATCCTCAAGACTGTGTTGGGGTTGACACGTGAAGCCCAGGCAAAGGCATTTGGAACTTGTGTCTCTCATGTATGTGCAGTTTTCATATTTTATGTACCCTTCATTGGATTGTCCATGGTGCACCGCTTTGGCAAACGACATGACTCCCTCCTGCCTATCATCATGGCCAACATCTACCTGCTTGTTCCTCCAGTTCTCAATCCTATCGTTTATGGAGTGAAGACAAAGGTGATCCGGCAGCGCATCCTTCAACTTTTCCACGTGACCATTCAGACTTCAGACCCCTAAATGCCAGGGCTCCAATTTATTTTCCATGTAAAATTCACATTTTAATACCAGCATTTTGGATGACAATATTTATAAAAGACCCTCTTTATTAATAAAAATTCAACTCTTACCTATAAAAGTAAAACTGGATTGAACATTTTCACAGGGAAAAGGACACCAGAACCACATACAATTTTTCCAGATCATTTTCCTTTTGGTTCTTCTCTTTCTGTAATTACTAAAACCTTGAGCTGGTTTTGGCTGTTGTTGTTTTGTTGTTGAGTCAAAGCTGATACAGCTGACTCTCTGGCAGGAGGAGATTGCCCATTTGGAGTGTTACTATTTCTCAGTTAGCCATCTAACCCGGTATCTAAATAGTGTTTATTTATAATGGACACGTGATAGTGCACAGCAGATAAGTTATACCTTTAAAGAGCATTTATCAAAGGCTTAGTTAGACATGACAAATGAGAAAATAACTAGGAGTCAGATAAAACCAGGTAGACTGACTTAAAAATCATTAGTTCCCTCTCAGAACTCCCAATCATATTGGATATGAGAAAAAAAAATGTACTTAAATGTCCTTTCTCAAAATGACCTCAATAAAGATTAGTTATTTCTTGTCTTTGAGACATTTATTTCTAAAAGGAGGATTGGAAAGAAAATCTTGAGAAGACATCATTTGCTTACATTAACTAAAGAGAGCACATTCTTTTATAGTTCTCACAGTCCATGGACATTTTTTAGAGAGAACTTCTTTAGTTCTCTTACTCAGCCTTTTGACTTGAGCAGGAATATGATTAACGCTCACATTGATTCAATAGGGAAATTGATCAGTATGCATTAGTGAACTGCATAAGGACACAAAAATTCAAATAATAAAAAAAAACCTTTTTTTTTTGCCACAAAGGAAAACATAAATTTATTTACCATCATGAAGGTGGAAATCAGCAAATGTTATTGTTCACTAGTAGGGCTTATTCACACAACATCCAAATTATGCAACATCCTGTTTCACAGAATGTATCATGAATGATAAGCACTACATAATTGGAAACTTTCTTAGGAAATGATTCAGCCCTTGCTGTTAGATGCCATTGCGTTAAGTAAAACCCATAGGGAACCTATGGACAACAGATCTGAACCCTGTTCTATCCTGTGTTATTCTCACACTTCCTAACACACGACATTCCATTGACGCAGTCACTGTGTCAGTTCACATGCTTGAGGGTCTTCTTCTCCTTTGCCAGCTCTCTACCCTTTTGATCATTATTTCTCTCTCTCCCAGGAATAGCCCCTCCTAGTAACACGCCCGAAGTATGTAAGTTGAAGCTTTATCATCTTTGCCTCCAAGAAGCTCTCTGACTGTACTTTCTCCAAGACATATTTATTTTTTTAGCAGTCCATGGGATGTTCATCACTATTCTCCAGCACCGCAGCTCAAAGGCATCAATTCTTTTTGATGCTCTATTTTATAAACTGAAAACTGACTGTAAGAGAAACTTGTAGGGTAGTGGGTCAGAATTTTGAACCTAATTTTCATTTTCCAGAGATGTATTTAATTCCCTTTCTTAACCATTTAGTGGTATAGTTAGGGACTATGCACCTTACAGCTTTGATCCCATTAACAATTGCTTCTGATCCATCTGCCACTGAGTAGGAAGAATGTGCTTGATATTCCCAAGAAGAATTCATTATTTGGAGAATAGTGTGATCGGCAGTGGAAGCTTTTAGCATAAGTTCTCAGATAACAAGTAATGAACAAATGTGTCTAGAATGAACACATGAAATGAAGAAATACAATGCCTCCATTAGGATGAAGATCTCCTTTTCTTTCTAACACTTTTATTTAGTTACTTGGACAATGGCTTCTCTCTCAGATTCTCTCATTTCTTCAAATTTGTAAAATAACGAAAGAAGGAAGACTCAGACTCAATTTTCCACTCATTAGTTGCTTCACTGACTCACGTCTTTTCTAGCCAAGGACCCCTATGTTAAGTACTACTGTGTCATATATGGTCTTGGGGATCAAAACCAATTTGAGGGCAGTGAGTATGGCTTGTTTTTTAAAAATTATTATTTTTCCCTTAAGCTACTTTAAGCTTTCAAAAAATTATTATTATTTAACAGGGCTCACAGAATAGGCCAATTTTGCTTTACTTTAAGAACCTGGGTACTTGTATATTATTTCTGTTTATTAACACCCAGTGTTACTCTCTAAAGCATATATATATCTCCCCGCTCCCCCTCCCCCTATTGCCAGAAGGTCATTTCTTGGACCGGTGGAAAAATTTACAGTCACAATTAAAAATGTGCCTTTGGGCACCAGATGGTATGGACCAGTCCTCTGTTTCTACTGCCTTTGGAAGCTGATGCAATTTCTGACATCTTCACCATAATGATACCATGCAATACTAGAGCCTTTGATAGTTGGTCCCTGACCTTTTCAGAGCCTTTGTCATATGAATACTTGAGCCTAATTTCTCAGAAAACTAACAAAGTTAATAGCCAGCTTTTAGAAAGGGGACTAGCTTTCTTAAGGAGTAATAAATATTGCCTCAAGGATCACAGATTAATTTCTTTTCCCTGCACACAGAAAGACTCAATTCATAGCTTCTCTGATAGTTGTTTCTAGATGCTGTCACTTCTCTTCTTACTCAATTAAACTCATCATGTAGAGTTGTCACCAACTCATAGTTGATTTTTTGGTGGATATTCAGTGGGTATAAATCATATGAGAGGAGATTGTCCGTAGCTGGTAAACTTGCCTTTGGGCTCGTGGCACAAATCCTTACCCACTAGACCCCCAGAGCTCCAGGTTTTGACTCATTGACTCATACAGTCAGAATTGACTCATAGCCGATCCTCCAGTGGGTTTTAATTGGCAGCTTATTACATAGAAGGCAGGGCTGACTCACAGCTGATACTCTATTGGGGTATCAAAGATTGTAAATTGCATGGCAGGAGACCAACTTTCTCTTGCAGAGCAACTGGTGGATTCCAACCATCTATCTTTGGGTTGGCAGTGCACCTCATTACCTATTAGGCCACCAATGCTGATAGTATTAGTTTCAGAAACTAATGTTCTTACCCATCTAACGAGTATATACAGGTACATTATTCCTGCTCCCAGTTATTCATCTCCTTGTTGTCCCAGGCTGCTCCAGAACACCACACCCGGCAGGAATCTGGGAAGACTGCTGCTGAGTTTTGATCTTTATACCATTGACTGAATGTTTCTTCCCAGGGATGTACAGAATATTGCCACAGAAGCAATTATCTGCTTAGTTTTTCTTAGGAATTAGGAAAAGGGAGTGTGTGTGTACACATGGAAATTTGTTAGGGTGGAGAACTACAAGACACATGGAGATGGTTCAAGTAACTGTACATTGTAAAGGGGGAAGGTTAGCTGGAAGCATCATCTCCCTCATGCCAAGGAGCAACACATGTCATTTCCTCCTGCATTTCCATGGGATATTATTGAAAATGTCACTCTTTCCCTTTTTCTGTGATTATTAGTTATACCAGATCTGCCACTTGAAATCACTCAATTTTTAGCCCCCTCAAGATGACAGTGTTTTAGAGATTCAGGTTCTGCCATGTCTACATTCCTCTACCCTGTTCTTAGTCTCCAGGGTTGTTCAATTTGGTTAAGCACTCCTCTTCCTTCCTGTATCTGTTCTTGGTATGAAAGTGTGAATCCTCCATTTGTTCAATAGTATATGTATATATCAAGGAACCTGTAGAAATAGAGGGAGAATGAAAGAGTCCTAAAGACATTGAGAACAGACAAATATGTTCTTTAGGAGCTTTTTTCATCTTTAGAGATGTTGAATGTTCCCCAACTTAAATAGCCTTTCTTATTACCTTGAGATTTTATTTTCAACCTGATGAAAAAACACCCCTAAATTGAAATATGAAAAGTCTTAGGTTGTCAAGAATTCAGCAATGATCTATTTCAGTGATTATTCATGAGATTGTCTTGTCTTTCATGAAATTAAGAAGGACCCTGGGCATGAAGATATCAATGCATGTATGCTGGTTTCTGCAAAGGTGTGTTTTCTGGTTTGGGGTTAGACTAGGGTGTGGCTGTTGTTCACAGTAAGGTGTGAGCTGATTGAATTGAAAAAGGTTTTTGGGCCCTCAGGCTGGTTTTTGTGGATCTTCCAAATAAAACAGGCTTGAAAACAGTAGTGGCATCCACTTAAAAAAAAAAAGCTTTTCTCTGGAAACTCCATGAACTTGGAGAAAAAAATGAAAAATTTGTGTTCGAGACTTTCATTCATAGGGTCACTATGGGTTGTTGGCTATGGATCATCTATGACACTTAACCAGAACAACATATATATTTATATATGTAAAATACATGTTATGTATGTTTTATATAAGAACAACACATATTTTATGTATTTATGCATGTATACTTTTCCATTTGCACTCTCAATTTTGACAAAATTTGAATATGTCAAAACCTTGAACAGCAATTATGATAAACACTTGGGGTCATTTTTTTTGTCACTTACATTGCTCTCTTTCTCATTGCTGAGTTTGAACAGATTCATACCTGACTCTCCAGTAGATTTTCAGAGACTGCAAATCACGTGGGAGGAGACTGCCCATATTTTTCCTGTGGAACAACTAGTGGATTCAGACCTTAAGCCACTGGGTTTGCAGTACAATTCCCTACCCACTATACCAAAGGAACAAACAACTCGGTTTTTAGGGAAGTACAGCAGCCAGGGTGTTCCTTAGAGACAAGGTTGTCAAAGTATATGTCCTGTAACTTTGGACATGTTGTCAGGAGGAACCAATCCTTGGAAAAAAGACATTATGTTGGGAAGGTGTGGAGTCAGACAAAAAGACGAAGACCTTCAATAAGAGGAATTGACATATGATTGTAATAATGGGCTTGGGTGTATCAGAGAAAATGATGATGGTGTAAGATTGAGCAAGGTTCAGATCTGTTGTTCATAGGGTCACTATGAATCAGAGTTACCTCAGTGACACCTAATAACCACAATAACAGATTTATTTGATCACTTTCTCCTTATCTCTTATTTCATCTCTATTTTTATTTATATATATTTACACATACACT